CTCCCAAGTAGCCGGGACCACAGACACGCATTGCCATGTCCAGCTAATTTTTGCATTTTTGTAGAGAGGGGGTTTCATCCTGTTGCTCAGGCTGGTCTTGAGCCTCTGAGCTCAGGAGATTTGTCCTTGTAGGCCTCTCAAAATGCTGGGATTATAGGCATGAACCACTGCACCCAGCCTAAAGAAAACCACTATACCTTCTTGATGGAAATATTTCGAATGTGGAGTCCACATGAATTGCAAATTATTTGGATATGGAAGATAAAAGACAGACAAGAGTAAACAAGGTTTGGGCCTGAGTGAGCATATATTATAAAGTAATTCAATTTGAATTCTTTTAAATTTAGATTTAGATAACCACATGTGGTGAGCTTTAGCACATTAGATGATGCAGATATAAACATGAGGGTGAAAAAGGGAACAGAGTAAGTTGAAAAGTGAGCTCTTAGTCACTCTGATTAAGGCCTTAAATCTGGAAATGAGGAAGAACCAGACAAAGAAGGCTGAAAGAGTGGTGGGAAGGAGGTGGCAAGTAAAGAAACCATTTTAGGATGGATTCAGAAGCCACTGATTCAATAGGTCAGATGCTGCCACTATTTGCATACAATGAGGATTCATAATTGACAACTCATTGAAAAGTGCAGAAAATACTTTAACATTGCCAGGTGTTTTATGACTGTTGCGTGGAGGTACAAGACCTGGTTTCACTTGGTTTAAGAGAAAACTCGACCTTTTCTTTTGTATGTATAGCTCCCCATCTCTTCCTCAATGTGATTGCAAAATCTTTAAATATATACCGTCTGCCTTTTATATCTTTGTATAAATACTTGCCTGACAAAGTTCTTCTTGTACTTTAAAGGGCTGGAAATATAAATGTTTTCATAAATGTCATTTTATTTTTATAACTTTCCCATGATTTCAGAAACATGGATTAATTAAAACAAATTTTTCACAACATAAAATGTTTACATTATAAAATGGAAGAAAATTAATATTTCCATTAATTTGTTGGGAAAATTTGCAACAGGGATCCATACCTTTAAAAAAGAGCTAATGAAATTCAAAGTTTAATAGTGGTGTTATCTGTACAATTTAAAATGATGATTAGCCAGTAAAGTTTAGGTAACTTTTAAAAACAATTAGTATTCTAACGAAAGGAATTGCTTTCTTTGAGGATAATTTACCTCCTACCAGTTCCACATTTTGACAGCTTTATCATTTTAGACCAATGTACATTTGGCCTTACCCCCTAATTCTTGTAGGTGCTTTGCCCTTCTAGGCTGATCCTTTGAAGACAAATTCTTTGTCCTTGTTTGTATTATTCAACAATAAATGTCGTTTTAGTTTTTCCATTTACAAAGGTTTTATCAATTGCTGACCTAAAAAAGATATGATGTAATCTTAGATATTAGAACTATCATTCATCCTAGACGATCTTTAAAAAAAAATTCTCATGAATTACACTTACCTTTAAAGAGATTTTAATGAGGAAATGACATACTTCTTGAGGTTATAATTTGTTCATTCTTTCAATTTCTTAGCCTACTGGCTTGATTTGACCCTGCAAATCAGGGAGATATATATTTTTATGTTTCTCCTGAAGTTTATCAGCAAATATCTACATCACCTGGCATACTGGGTTTTGTGAAAGCCAACAGTTTCTTTAGTAATGGAAAGAACTAGCATGGAATTACAAAGCAAACGTACAGACAAGCAACTATAGCAAAGAGCGAAAAAAGAAACTTTCCTTATGAAAATTGTCATTAATTGTTATTTAAAATATGTTTTACATAGTTTTTTTTTTTTTAATGTGAACCACTGATGTGAAAACAATGCATATAGGATGAAGTTGTAATTTAATTTTTTTTAATTCTGTCTACACCAGACTCTATACTTTCTTTTCATATCTGGTTTATTTTGAAAGAATAATTCTGTTAGCCTTCAAACATTTCCTGTCATAAACATGAACTTATTTGATATGGGTTCGTAGGGCTGTGATTGGAGTCTCAATTTTTTATTGATTTTAATGTAAATGATACAGGATTTGATTGGCCCTTATTACTTAAATATTGTATTGACTTAAATGGCTAAATGTATAGACATGCTTACGTGTTTTACGTTTTGTTTTAAATTTTCCTTAGTGTTTACTCTTGGAAAATCAGGTATATATATATATATATATATATATATATATATATAATTATTTATGTTTCTTGATACTTAAAAAATGCAGGCTATAGTTGAACTATACTTATATTTCTGAAGGAAACCTAAATATTTTATTTTTATTTCCAAATACATTTACAGTGTCTTAACTATGAAATTCAACATTTTAGCATGTTGACATTCATATCCTTTTTATGTAATTTAATATGAATATCATTCTTCAGAAGATTCAATTCTTACATTCATTTAGCATTTTTTCTTATCATTGAAACAGTCACGTATGTGTTCATTATAACGTTTTAAATTGAAGTATTGCCAGTAATGTATTATACATTGTGACATTAATTACTTGTTTTATTTTAAAACTTTTCATTTCCTATCACAAAATGACATGATTTCATGGAAAGAACATGGGATCAACCTTGTCACGAAACAGGTTTGACTCCTTGCTAGCTAGATGTATGACCTTGAGAAAATTCCTTAGCTTTTCACTTTACTGGTATGCAATATGAAGATGATAATCACAGTACTTATTTCATATACAAATGAAAAACATCCACATAAAATGTCAACCTGACATAGAGTCACCATTCATAGATCTTCCTGTTACTTTGTTGTTATTGGTATCATGATCATGCAAATTATTTTCTGTTTTAGCCAGATATTTAGCTGTTCCTGTTATGGTTTTAAGTGTGTGAGAGGGAGGTAACACTTTTCAAAGGAGCAAGGATTTCTGATGAGGAGTGAGTAGGATGCTAAGGGGAAACGGACAAGATTCTCTGTGTGTTGAATCTCAAACTGAAAGTTAGAATGCAGTGTTCCTTTCTGACCATTACTTGTGCTTTTGGTGGTGGCTTGCTTCCCAGACATGCTTACCAAAATATAATGAAGCCAACATGTAACTGTTTTAGTTGACTATTCTGAGATTTTTAAATACCGTTGAAAATGTTATAAGAGCTAATATACTATGACCGAATATCAACAGCTTGCAAATATGCGCTGACCTCCTTCTTAGTTGTGGATTTCCTGGATTATGGTATACAGATTTTGAATTTGAAAATCTATAAAAAATCTATTTCTCCCCAAATTACAGATTTCTTAATATAGTATGGATATTAACTTTAGCAAATATGACACAGAAAAACATCACTGGGTACCATTAAGCTATAGCTACATATATTACTTCATAAATAAAAAGTACTAAAACTAAATAACAAGCCAGGCTAACTATTGGCCCATCAGGTCAAGTCATTTAAAAATAATTTCTTGAAAGAATCAAATAGGGAGCAAAGATTGGCAATGTACACCTACAGGCAAACAACAATGATTCCCTTCCGTTAACCCTCTTATCAATTACTTGTGTAAAAGCCTAAGTAGAGTAGCAGCTGTGGAAAATATCAAAAGATCAAATATAGAAGTCATTAGAAATAATATGAGAGATTTAAAAGGGAGACAAAAGAGAACTTACATATATTATTAAGTTTTGAAGAGAAAAAATTGAACAAACAGAAAAGAAAATTGTTTACAAGTGAGGAAATTACAAAATTGAAACTGTGATCAGCTCTTTGCTTTGAAATTTTCACGTACAACTATTATCAATATATAATTATCTTTTGAAATTCTTGAACAGCAAGAACTAACAATTAAATGATCAAGAAGGAAAAAAAAAGTCATGAGCCAGAGGTAAGGGTGATATTAAAAATTAAAATGGGCATGCAACCAATCAGAAAAGAAGTGGGTTATACACCTTCAATGCTACTGCTGACTGACATTTAATAATTGCACTGAGAGGCAGAGATTTTGTTTTGTAGAGGCAGGTTTTTTATCAAGTTATTTATTCTTTCTGCATCCTCCTCTCACAGTGAGTGAGATTACAAAGGTTACATTGGGTAACTTCGGCTACTATTATTCTCTGTGACAATCTTCGGGGCTCACATGAAATGAATCCACTAAATTCTGACTTTGGGGTAGAAGTAAGAGTATTACAGCATTTTTACTCAAAATAGTTTTGTTTCTGTTTTTTAATAAAGCAATTGCATCTTAAAACTTTGTAGATTTTATTAGAAGATGTTAAACAGATTCTTATTAAAACACTGGAGTCATAAAAACCAACTCCACTGGAAGTTCTTTCCATTAATGCCATTGGTTTGATTTGAAATGATAGTTAAATTAGAGGCAAAAAGAAGGCACATTCTTCCCTTCCCTTTGCAGATGGGAGGTCACCAAATTTAAAGATACCTTCAGATGTTTGTCTTCTCCAGGATCAACTCATTAAAAAATTAACATTTTCTTTTAATAATTTTTAAAGCAATCTTTGACTATACTTAGATATATGCTCTGTTTTTAAAACATAATATGACATACATAACATTGGATTTGGAAGGCTAAATGGACATTTCTACCGCTGACTGTATACTAAAATTTAATTTATTCCCTCATCCAAATATTCAGGGTTGGTTTATAAAAGTCACTTAACTGGTGAAAAAAAAAATATATATATATATGTATTTTTTTTCTGTCATCCTTATTATTCCAAATATACTTACAAGAATAAATGTGATTAAGAGCACTCTGAGTGTGTGGAGATTCATTTACCACCTTATTTGGGGAGTAAAAGAGGTGATATTTCACCTGGCTTAATATATATTTTAATATAATTTTGTTTTCCTACATATATAAATGGGATTTTTAAAATTCTTAATGATGTATTCACTCAGTATTCAGAAACTTATTGTATTCTGTGAAATGCCATGCATTTTCTTGTTGTTTTACAAATTACATAGAAGTGGACCATTTTATTTGATAATAAGATGTGTACAATTTTTATTTTTCAGACTTGAATGCAGTGATCATGTAAACTAGAGAAAGGGGATTAAAAATAACCTCTGGATACTCTTCTTATGTGATTTTTATTCTGGATGAAGCATTAGGACAGCTGATAGACGTGTATCACTGTAAGTATTTTCTAACGAACTTAGAATGTGTATTTTTTTTGTTTATGGATAACATATGTTGTACACTTTCACAGAATTTAAGAATAATAGATGTAATATAGTAGCAATAATGGACAGAACACTACAAACTCCCAAAATACTAAGTGACAAGAATAGCAACATGGAAAAGGAAAATTATTCCTATTATAGAATCACCTAATTATTGAGTAAATATTTGATATATAAACAAAAGCAAAAGATTAAATGATAATTATTTATGATGCCAAAGTGATCTTTGCTAGAATATACTTAGGAGTGTGACAGTTTTCTGATGAGGAATTAAAATAGTTGTAAAGCTGTGCTAAGAAGAATCATAATCTTACTATGAGTAAGAAATGTGATATGAGTTATGGGATTTGAAAATAAAAGAATGAGATGCTTTTGCAAGCCAGGCTATTTACATTTTCGTGATGTTTTGGAATGTGTAGAAATACCAGCAATTACAGCACCAACTTCAATTAATAGAATGTTCAATCTGTATCTAATGAAGTTATCAAGTACTCTGTACTCATGGCATCTATCATTTTATCATACAAAACCATTGCATTCATAAAGAGAAAAAAACTCTTGTAAACTGACCTGAAACTTCGTCTCATCATACAAACGAAGAAAGAGGCTTCTCATTTAACATTCCGCAGCACTCTAATGTAATTCAGAGGTAAGTGCTATTACCCTTGGTGAAGAGGTTGAATTTGATAGCCATTTCACTGTTAGACTAAAGATGGCCTATTGTATCTCTTAGATTACAATGTCTTTGATACTGTGAATGACAAGGAAACATACAATCTCAGGGGAAAATTCAGACAGAGAAGGTATTTAATAGCAAAACCACCACTGGAGTATCTTTAGATTTTGAAATCATATGTAGACATCTTAGTTGATAGTCAACCAGAACCCACCAGTAAGGCATTCAGCTTGGTCATACCTGTGCGGTACAGATGGCTACATATGTTGACTGTCACCCTAGTAATACGTTAAAATATAAATATATATACATATATTCAAATATCAAATATGTATTATATTTTGACTTATGAACTTATTTATTATTTTACTAACCTGGACTTATTAACCAGAAGAATTACTTACATACCGAAAGCTCTTTTTTAAATATCCTATAACATTTTTCCCCCAAAACTGAATACATAATTTGGAAAACTCTCTGTGAAGGAAACAATTAATATTTTGTTTTGTATTCATAAAACTGGAGTTATTTTATTTCATAGAATGTAGCAATAACTTACACTTTCCACTTCAAATTTTGAAAATTTTATTTGTAGTAATATTTTACCTACATCTAAAACAGGTGGTATATGTAATTTATGTTTTGAATGGACAAATAACGTTTTCTGAAAAAGTTGTAAGATGTCTTTGTTTTAGCTGAGTCATAATTTTTCCTCTTTCATAGTCCCATAAAAATATGTTTTCGCAATATGGCTAAATAATGAAATTGATTTAAAGCCAAGTTAGCACTCAAGACAAAAATCAAACCTACTAAGTGTGTGACTTGCCCTACTTAAAAAGAAATTGAGAGACAATAATATGCAATATGTCTTTTTCAAAGTAATTTCTCCAGGTTAGATTTATAGAGAAATATTCATGGAGGTAAATATTCCTATAAAATAGAGATGATTTTGAATGAAGTGAAATTATTTTTAATTAATATCATTGGTAATTTGAAACAAATGATTTTTGTGTTACTTAAAACTTAATTTTCTTCTAACAGGGATTAAGCCATTTATCAGAACCATGGTGTCAAATACTGATTTGCAGAAATACTTTTCAGTGAAATTTAAGACTATGTGGTATTTGAAACCATCCAGTTCATTTAACTTGCTTAAACAATGTTCACTTTATACAAGTTCCCTTTGATATAATCATTCAAGGGAACATTTTCATATCTATGTACGTATATGTGTGTCTTTTTTTTTTTTTTTATTATTTTTTGTTTGAGACGGAGTTTCGCTCTTGTTACCCAGGCTGGAGTGCAATGGTGCGATCTTGGCTCACCGCAACCTCTGCCTCCTGGGTTCAGGCGATTCACCTGCCTCAGCCTCCTGAGTAGCTGGGATTACAGGCACGCGCCACCATGCCCAGCTGATTTTTTGTAGTTTTAGTAGAGACGGGGTTTCACCATGTTGACCAGGATGGTCTCGATCTCTTGACCTCGTGATCCACCCGCCTTGGCCTCCCAAAGTGCTGGGATTACAGGCGTGAGCCACCGCGCCTGGCCTTATGTGTGTCTTTTTAAAAAGTAACCATGATTAGAATTACGAGCATATAGATCTTTGTTTATAACAAAACATAACCTGGTGTAAGAAATGCTTTTAGTAAGCAAAATGTATCAAGCCCTCTAGTGGTGTTAATATATAAGATATTTCATTATATTGTTTGCTCAGTCAAAGCAGGCTTTTTAAATTTTCTTTCCCCATTTGAGTAAAGGAATTTAACATTTCTTTGAGGTTAGCTTTTTGTAAATTCCAATTTGCTCTTCTTGGCAGATAATTTGTAGAATATTTTAGGTGGTTTTTCTAAAGAAAAAAATCTTAATCTTAGGATTAACCATTTTAAATGCCTAAACTTAGTGAATAAATGAATAGCCTATTAGGAGATAAATAATTATTTTTAGATCAGTAACTGTTATTTTTGTGTCTAAAGTTAAAAGACATTATAGTGTTCCATATGCATGATGATAATACTTTTTAAAAAGAAATTTTACATAATTTTCAAACTTAGAAAGAATCTTTGTTTAAATAAACAACACAATGAAGGATAAAAATAGCTAAAATGTTCTTTGTAATTCTTGCTGAGATCTTTCATCCTACCTAAAGTCTAAAGGAGGTTAATGGTCTTATTCATACCTAGAGATATTTACACTGAGATTTTTTTTTTTTTAATTTGGCTGTTATTATAGAAGGCACACAATTAGAGAGGAGATTTATTTGGCAGATCTGCAAAATGTGTTTCATTTATTAAGGCATGAGTTTTAGCTTCATGCCAGCAGTATTTGTCTTTCTTTCTTAAAAAAAAGTCGAAGTATGAACGTTTGGTGTATATAGCTAGGGGAAACTGATAAATATTAAGCAGTAGAAATGGGAAAGTAACAATGAAAAGTTTAAGACACAAAGATGAGTCTCAGTGGCTATCTGTTCTTGAAGATGAATTTCTTGATTTCCTGTCCTTTATTTCAACTTTATTTTAGACTCTGAAATCAGGCTTGTGGAATAACCACTGAATACACCGTGGTAGAAAGTGCTATACTAGGCATTGGAAGACTCATGTCACTTCTTGGCTTCATACAGTTTTCTTTGTTGTAAAATCAGAATAATCATGTAGTACCCTACCTCACACACTCATGAGCACTTCTGACTGATCACCATTCTTTTGAAAAGGTGTGTATTATCGCTGCTTCTCATTGAGGAATACATACAATTGGAGAACATGCCATCTTCTCCCTAATTTGTGTACTCTCATTCTTAGAAGTCTTCAATTAAAACTGAATTAAGCGGGGTGCAGTGGCTCATGCCTGTAATCCCAGCACTTTGGGAGGAAAAGGGGGGCAGATCACTCGAGGTCAGGAGTTCGGGACCAGCCTAGCCAACATGGCAAAACCCCATCTCTACTAAAAAATAGAAAAATTAGCCAGGGGTGATGGCGTGTGCCTATAATCCCAGCTACTTGGAAGGCTGAAGCAAAAGAATCTCTCAAACCCAGGAGACAGAAGTTGCAGTGAGCTGAGATCATTCCATTGCACTCCTGCCTGGGCAACAGAGTGAGACTCCAGGTCAAAAAGGAAACAACAACAGCAGCAACAACAACAAAAACTGATTTAAAACAAAGTACTAAATTCTATTGGCCAATATGTGTACTTTTCACCATCTAAATCTACCCAATTTCAGATAGAAGATATACATTTAAAAATCTTTAGCCTTCATTCTGAAACAAGTTCATGTAGCAACTGGAAGACATTGATATTTGATTTTTGTGTTACCAAAATACATAGATTTTTACATCTGCTATTAGATTGTTCTAATTTAATTCATCATGATATATGATTAAGTGATATCATAGACACTAACTTCAAAAAGGGAATAAAGAAACAGAATATTCTGGAACTTGATATATTTTTAGACTTAACCCTACATAACATATAACTCTATGAAAGTTACATTTTTCGACTAGGATTCAAATGGCCTTGTCTCAACACCTAATTGTACCCTCAGATCACATAGTCTTCCAGGTCCACAATATATTCACTTCTAAATGTCTGAATAAATTGTATTAGAGGATTTTTAAGATATCTTCTAAAAGTATGTTGGTTCTAGATCATTGAGCCATTCAAAAGGTTATTCCATCCTGTGAAGTGAGGGCAGCAAAATACTGTTTTCCCAGATATTTTTTCTTTGCAATCTCTTTCCATTTTTCATGTCTTCCTTCCTTGTTAGGAGTTTATTAGAGCTGGAGAGAGCTGAGCTGCCTGCTCTCTGAGTAGTCCATTAACAGAAGAACCCCAAATAAAGTAATAGTCAATTAATCACTCACTGCGATGATGTAAACAGGAAACTAAACTGGAGAAAGAGACCTCATGGAAGAGTTTGGACCATGGCACCGTTTGAGGGTCAGTTGAATGCACACAGATGTGATGATCATCTTACACCTTGGGAGTCCTGAAAAAAGAATTCCGTTGTTTTATGGACCAGCAGCTAGGAGTAAGGGGATAAGATAGGACTAAGAGTGGAAAAGTACTGAACACTGAGTCAGAATGAGAAAACTGGGGTCATATTTCCCTGCTCCCCTAATAAGAAGGTCTTAGCAGAGGCAACTGAAGAAGACCTCTGCTGAAAATACTAGATAAAGAAGATCTGAATTAGGGCATTTGATCTAGGAGTGTAGACATGCATAAGAGTGTGGCTGGCCATGGTAGCCTCGTCCTTGACTGCAACTCCCTGCAGAGATGGCAGTGCGCTGGCTGCACACCCCATCTGTTGTGGAGAGGGCAGCTCTTTCCTCTGGAGCTTGCCAGGTGGTCTGTAATTGCCTGTGGTGACGTCTGAAAAATCACACATAGGGTTTTGGTCTAGAGCCAGATTCCTCATTGATTATCATCTTACTTGCCTACTTCCTCTTAAGTTTAAATTAGGGAGTAAAACCCGGGAAATTTGTCATTTGTTTAGAATACTGAGTCACATAACCTTATTCAGACAATTTAACTTCAAAGAGACCCTTGCCCTGTGCTTGGTGGTGTGCAGTGTTATTGATCCTGAGGTGAACCCCCTTCTCAAGCAACTTAGTGTCTATTGGATGTCCAGAGGGAAAATATTTATAAACAATAACAGCCATATTGTAAAGTGGTTTCTATAATGCAGGCTTGCTCAAAACACTTTACTTTCCACTCATAACTACTCTATTACTTATGCACTACCGTGGTCTTCCGTTTTGTGGATGTGAGAACAGAGGTTAAGTAAGGTTGAGAGGAGTTAAGAAACCTGTCTGCTGGTAAATGGTAAAGCTGCATACAGAGGCAATGCATTTAACCACTGCATTTTACTTCTATTAAAAAAAAATAACCTGAAGGCTATAGATATGCATAGAATGTCAAGAGAGAACTGAAAAGAGGCCCTGGATTCATGCAGTAAATTGCAGAGAGAGCAGTACCTACATGGAGTGGACCTGGGGTGTGTTATGCAGGTAAAGAGGTGGAATTGCAAGGTATTTAAGGTGCAAGGGGCATGAGCATGAGTGCTATGGACTAAATCATTTTGGAGTTTCAGAAAATAAATATAAAGTGAACAATAAATAAATAAAATAAAAGAAATAACTATCAAGTGAATTGAGGATAGAAGGAGGGATTAGATATAAACAAGGATATGAATATATTGAGGCAGCAATCAGAAGAACTTTACACATTATTTTATATAGGGTGTTAGTGAAATACAGCTAGGGAGAGAATAAACAAGAAAATTTCCTGCATAATTTTCTATTTTGATTTAATGAATGATACCCTAAATGGAGGTGAATATAGGAAAAGGAGCAGATTTATTTGTTTTACTTTGGGGGTCTTGAGTCTATTGAACTACCAACAAAAGGTAATTTGCATACAATTAATGCATGCATAAATAATTGCAAGAGAAATCGAACTCTAGAGAGCATAGATCTCTAATGAAAAGACAAAGTAAAGGATGCCCCAAAGTGTGCTGTCCAAGAAAAGACTGGAGCAGAACAAGAGCCAGTAAAGTACAATTTCAGAGTTTTAACAAGAAAGAACTGATGATAATGATGCAAAAGATAGATTAGTTAAGATCACAACTGAACTCATCTTTGAAATAGATCCCTACTAAAGTCACAAGTTTACCCTATTTAGAAAGGGCGGGATTTGTGAAGTGAAGGAACTGAAGCCAGATTGTGCTGGATTGAAGAGTGGTAGAGCAGAAACAGATTAGATAAGGAAAGGCATGGAATTTGACAGTAGCTAGAAGAGACAAAAGAAGTAAGGAGGGCTTTCTTTTGTTGTTGATTGTTTTATTAGTTGTATTTTTAAAATGGTTTAATTACCTAATAAATTTTTTTTAATTGACACATCATGTACATATTTATTGAGTACAGTGAGATATTTCAAGACATTCATACATTGCATAATGATCAAATTATGGTATTTAGTATTTCTGTCATCTCAAAAACTCAATGTTGCTTTGTGATGAGAGCATTCAAATTTCTCTCTTCCAGCCCTTTTGAAATATGCCATCGAATATTGATAGCTATGGCGCCCTTCTGTGTAATAGCACCCTAGAAATTATTCCTCCTCTATCACTGTGACTCGGTATCCATTAACCAGCCTTTCCTTACATCTTCCTTCCATCCCTTCTTCAGCCTCTAATAACTATTTTTCTATTCTCTACATCTATGAGATCAGCCTTTTAGATTCCACAT